GAGAGGTCTGCTGCGCCCTGGGGGTTACCTGGGGGTGGGGGCAGGGATGGAACTGAGGAGCTGCCACTGGTTTGCAGTGCTGCACTTTAACCTGCTGCACCACCAGGAAGGGCCTTTTTTTTATTTCAAGATTTCTTTATTTATCCAAACAAGAAATGGGTACAGGCCAGAGGTGTGGAGTATATGTGTGAGAGAGGCTTCACCAGACACAGAGTGGGGAGCAGCTGGGAAACAGGGGAGGTCTGCTGTGCCCTGTGGGTCACTCCCTGGCCAGGAATGGAACTCGTGCTGCAATGGCTGTGGAAGCTTCATCATGTGCTTTAACCCATTACACCATCAGGGAGGCCCTGTGATGCTTGCTTTTAACTGGGATGGATTTCAAAGATCAGCAACTGTGGTAAGGCTCCTTCTTAGTTTGCGAGAACCTCATTCATTTTGTTTTTGCCTATAAAAACTAAGAGAGCTGATGCTGAACCCCCTTTTCCCAGTGTGGATATAGTAGTTTTCTGAAAAGATGCACTTGAACAAGAAAACAGGCAAAAGTCTACATTGTCTGTGACTGCAAGTGGCAGTTCTGAAAACTTTCCTCAAATTTCTAATAATATCTTAGTAAAACACCAGTCCAGCTTAGGACAGCAGAAGTTTGCAGCTCACAGAGGCTGGAAGTCCAAGAGCAGGGGCCAGCGTTTTTGGGGAGACTGGTCACTGAGCCCTCACCCCGGGGAGGGAGCAGGGAGCAATCTGGAGCCTGACCTGTCTGGGCCCCACCTCCTAACTACCATAGTGGGGGTAAGATTCAGCACCGGATGCCACCATTTTGGGGAGCAGGATTTACCACATGAATGGAGGGACATCTGGACCACAGCATTCTGCCTCTGCTTCCCCAAAGTTTATGTCCTCCTTGCATGCAAAATGCCTTTATTCATCCTAAACTCCTCAGAGGTCCTAACCGGTCCAAGTCCTTCCTGTTCAAGTCCAAGTTCCAAAGTCTTATCTAAATATCTAAATCAGGTACTGAGAAGGCTGGAGGAAAGACTGCCCTCCAGCTATGAATTCCAGCTATGAAACAAGTTAGGTGTTTCCAAAATACAATAGGGGGACAGGCAGAGGGCAGAAGGTCTCAATCTGTTACAGGGCAAGGAGAGAGGGGCACCCCTGAGCCCCTAAATCTGCCTGCACTAAATAGGTTCTGCCATCCATCGCATCAAGACTAGACACAAGAGCTTTAATGGAAAGGAAATTTAATACAATGAGTTTGCAATACGGAAAAGACAAAGATATAGTTTCTAAATGAAACACCCAAAGTTCCCCGTCCCCTTGTGAGTAAAAGTCCACCAGAAAGGGACTGGCCCAGAGCAAGGCCTGAAAGCCGCCCCAAGACTAAAAGCACCTTCTGGCTGGGGCCCATAGAAAAGGGTCAGACATGGCCAGACTAGTCTAGGAGGAAAAGAGCAACATCAAAATCAAGATAAACGCTGCCATAGTCACCATCCCTCAGTCTCTCACCCATGTCTGTTTCAACCGGTTCAGGACCAAGAAGCAAACGCAGTTTCTTCATGTGTCTCTGCTCCATGTGGCTCCCTCAGGTCTCCTTCTGGCTCCATCCTGCTTCCTTCCTCCTCAGACTCTTCTCCAGTTTCCTTTCTTCTTAGCTCAGCTCCACCCTCCTTCTGGGTGGGGCAGGGGACCTGGAACTTCCCCTTTTCCTGGGGACCACCCTATTACAATTCCAGAGGGAGAAATCAAGAGAAGGAAGGGGGTGA